AGGAAAAATACTTGACCCCTCTAGCCAAAGTGATATAATTATTTCATTTCCCTCTTCTTCTTCTTCTTCTTCTTCTTCTTCTTCTTCTTCTCTGGTGTCAGATCTTTGCAGTTTTGTCAGCAAGTACAGTGTTTAGTTCTAGTTCCAGGCTGTGTATAGCATTTACATACTGCACATGTGAATTTATGGAAGCTGGGCTAAGTCAGTGAGCGTATTATGTGGTGGACAGTGCTGCAGTTTTAGGGGGCACTGAACAGTAGTGATGGCCATGTGACACCGATGCTCCAATACAAGCTTCAAAGACTCATTTTCCGCGAACCACTGCTTCGATGCTTGCTTTGTTGTGCAAAAAGACACGTGATCAATGACGTCTGAAGCAGAAACTCCTTCGGTCCTCTGAGTGAATGGTTCAAACAGTTGATACTGTTTTGTAATGCAAGACCTTGTAGCGCACTATATACATGACAGATCCTCCCTTGGAAAGATGTGAAGATCCTCTGACCTACTGGAACGAGCACGAAAATGTTTACCCACATTTGTTTTCGCTAGCAAAGCAATACCTATGTACGCCAGCCTCATCAGCCATCACTACAAATAGTTAGCTTTACATAACTGAACAAAACTCAACTCAAAATAGCACAACTTAAATTAACATCACATGCACACCACTACACATGCATGACCTGCCAATGAGTAACTGCTTAAATAGCAGCACCATCTGGGTCAACCCTCCCTCAGACTACAACATTTCACATCTCTCACAGGTAGATCAACACCTCAGTCCTCGCACAAGTCAATTCTGTGGAGCTATTTTTATCAATAAACATTTAACAGAGTCACCAATTTTTAAGGTATTCAGTTCTCCAACCATACAGTTTACAAATAATTAATCAACACATGAAATCAAGGTAACACTAATAATCTCCACCTCCCAACTTGGTTCACCCCATGACAACATTGATGACATCAGAGAGAGTATAAAATGAGGAAGTTGTTGGGTGCCTCCTCCTTTTGTCTTCCACCTGAATGGTGAGCATAACTAAAACTATAAATTAACTTGTAACACTTTACTAAATCAGTAAGCTCCAGTTGAATGATACCTTTATGCATTTTACTTTAACCAGAAATAATAAATGTAACATAACAGAAGAAGAAGTTGAAAAATGTATATAAACTAGTTGGGGACAAATGGAGCATTCTCACCCACGAATATGGAATGTTTCTACAAAATGTGGCATTTTGTTTGCTGTTAAATTGCTCTCACATCAAAATGTGTTGGTGAAACAGGCTTACTTCCAAAAATAGTCAGTCTTTACATGTATAAGACAAGAGTCACCACACTTTACTGTGCAACTGCAGGAAAATATACAGTGGGTACGGAAAGTATTCAAACCCCCTTAAATTTTTCACTCTTTGTTATATTGCAGCCATATGCTAAAAGCATTTAAGTTCATTTTTTTTCCTCATTAATGTACACACAGCACC